ATGGTGTTCGAGAGCCAATAGAATTGTGGAAAAATGGAAAAAAGTAACTGTTCCCTTTGCATTATTTTGTAATATTGGAACTGGAACTGCAACGGGAACGGGTTGTGACGCTATTTAGACGTGCGATTAGTCACTTCGTTTCGCTAATTATTGATATTGACAGACAGGGGAACAGTGGAATATGGGCATGAGAAAGTGGAATATCGACTCGACGTTCTGTACCCACGAGCACCTCAGCTTCCACATGCACAGGATAACAGCTATTTGTGTAATAGCTTCACTGTATACTTTAATTGGGCCTGTTTAGATAGTTGTTTCGTTTCAACAGTTGCAGTTTGCAGTTGCGAACTGTGCATTGTGATTTTAAGGTGTTTATTCTTTACTGTTTGTTTATTTTTGACTTGAGCTGCTTGAAAAGGTGTTTTGTGATTATGAAAATTAAAATGTTGTGAGTGAGCTGAGGCTGATTATTTGTTATTAGGTATTAACAATTAAATATTTTGCGTGCATGAATTATTTATGAAGTTTTAAATGTTCACTTAACCTATCTTTTTCGGATTCCTCAAAAGAAAGAGTGATTGTTAATGTTAGGTTGAGTTGCGTGTGTGTGTGAATTTGTTTTGTTAGGTTGGAGTTTTGGTAGTGGTAGGTCTAGGTTTATTTTGATTAAGTTAGTTGGGCCTTTCAGTGGAGTTTAGGTCTAAGTTATTGCCTTTGAAAAAGTTAAATTAATAACTTATCTATTAATAAGAGTATGCCTAAGTTAAGTTTACCTTAGAGGCTAACTTAGACCTACCACTACCAAAACTGCAATCTAACAAATTCACACACAAACAAACACCTAACCTAACCTAACAATCACTCTCTCTTGAGGAATCCGAAAAATATAGGTTAAGTAAGCATTTAAATCTTCATAATTAATTCATGCACGCAAAACATTTAGGCTAATTGTCAATACCTAATAACAAATCAGCTTCAGCACACTCACAAAACGTTAATTTTCATAATCATAAACACCTTTTCAAGCAGCTCAAGTCAAAAGTAAACAAACAGTTAAGATTAAAGAATAAACACCTTTTCAAAATCACAATGCACAGTTCGCAACTGTAACTGTTGAAAAAAAAACAACTATCTAAACAGAAACAGGTCCAATAAAGATATACGGTGAAACTATTACACAAATACCTGTTATCCCAGGAACTGTTCGAAGTCCTTCTGTGCTTGTGGAAGCTGAGATGCTCGTGGGTACAGAACGTCGAGTGGAATATCGAATAATGGGCCTGACGGATCGCAGAATTTTATGTTTGTTTTTGTTATAGTTGTATCTGAGGTTAGTGAGGTTCAATCGATTCGATTCAATCGTATTCTGTCCGACGTAGCGAACCTAGGCTACGAGACCTTGCCGTCAGACCGTCACCGCCCACCTTCGTCTGTCTAGAAACGGGACAGCGGAATTGAAATCCGAACTGAACATCTGATCGCGGGTTTCTGTCATCACCGAGCCTGTTTTAAATTACGCGGGAACAAAGTACAGTAGCCGTTTAATGTTAAATATAAGTCTAAATATGTTAATTGAAAATTATTTCTTGAATGATTATAAAAATTACAAAAAACTATATAAGTCCAAATAAAGATGAATTACATAAAAATCCTAACTATTATTAATTGTTGTTTACACTGTTTAAATAACAAAAGTATAGAAAGAAAAAGTTTAATTCCATGTCGTTCTAAATTATAGCTAACGTAGGCCTATTTTCAGCTGTGAACATTTTAAAACTAGTAACATACCTCGTGTTAAAATTCCTGGTCTTCAAAATATATTTTTCTTAAAATGTAACAATTTAACACATATATTGATACACACTCACACACACAAATAATATTTACATTTATTTACAACATATTTTCTTCATCTTGGAAACTGTAACAACAAAATGAACACAAAAATTTGGCTATTTTAAATGAGAAATATCTTATTGTGAATTTTCTATAGGCCTACTTGTTTATTTTGTTTGTTTGTCAGTGTCACAAGTTACTCAGCATGGGTCTACGTTTATGTTTGTAGGTACCAGTATCTCTGTGAAAATATCTGGGATGTCAGTGTGTGTGTTCAAGTTCAAAAACTTATATTTCAGTAAAAGATTTCCCTAGCATACCACTGGGCCGAGTGAATACAAGTACAGCAAGTATATACTTGTGAGTAAATACTTGCGAGTATTCGTCGTTCAAGTAATCTCTTGTGAATAAAAGCGACTCTTTACTTGCAAGTAAATACTTCCTAAATGAGATGGTATACTCACTGATCTATCGGAGATGAGGGTATACTTGCAAGTATGTACTCCATTTTAAAGTAAACATTATACAGTACAAGTATATATATATATATTAAATAAATAAATATAGATAAATATATATATATTGTTGAAGGTCTAAGGCCTTCATTTAAACATGTAAAATGTGAAGGTTTTGCATTATTGAGACTTGTGGATGGATTTTCATTAACAAAATAGCTTGAACATAACGAAGGAATACCACAAAGGTTCCATCTTCAATTACCCAAGCATTATTTTGCGGAAATTACTAGAGTCACACATAATTTAAATAAGTGTATTACACTATACTGAATGTGTTACATGCATTTATCAACAAGTAAATTTAAACAAGCATGGGTTATTGATAACTAGTTGAAAAACAAGTATTTACTCTTTAGGCAAGTATTTGCTGGTGGTTATTCACACCAAATGTATAGGTTTATGAGGGTATACTTCTTTGGAAAGGCTTTTTTAGAAGTACAAGTAAATACTCATGCTTATTCACTTCTGTTCAAGTAAATACTCAAATTATGAAAATTCAAGGCAAGTAAAAAAAATGCGAAGAACAAGAACTTTAACTTAGAAAATAAGAATGTGTCAGCTGTTACAATTTCATTTAATTTATAATTGATGGTTGATTATTACCTAATGACTACAAATTATTAAATATATTTTTTTTGCAAAGTTTTATTTACAATCTGTTTTAAATTAAACGATAAGTAAATATGATGACATTTATATAAATTAAATTAAAATTGGGGGAAAAATTATTAAAATGTATTATCTATACTAATAAATAAAAATGAGATGGTGTGTGTTTGTGTGTCTGTCTACTACTCAATAACGCAAAAACTACTGAACCGACTGGGCTCAAATTGCACACACATGAAGCTACAGTTCCGAGGATACATATAGAACTATTCCCGCTTCGATATTGTCCTAGGGCTCTGCCCAGTGGGCTTTAAAAAATTTGAGGTGAGAGATTTAAAAGTAAATATTGATTGATGGTATATCCATGGTAACAAAGAACAAACCTACAAAGTTTAAAAATATAAACAAGCAGAACTAACTGTCAAATGATTTTTTTTTTTTACAAGTATTTATTCACAATCTATTCTATACTAGAATAATAAGTAAATTTGATAACCATTTTAACATGGGTTAGTTACACTCCATCAAGTGCACTAACATACAAAAACTTTTAAAAAGTTCAACTAAAGACGATTTGGAAGGTCTATTGGATTAACTCTTTTGAGCCTATATGTAGCTTCACTATTGTCGAGGAGGTTAACTGCCAGGAAATTTGGATGGGTTTCTAATTTTCTTTGGTATTTTTCACTTCGTTTCTTTATTTCTTCTTTAACATAGGGTAATTTTGTATCTTGATGAATTACTTTATTTGTGACAAACCAAGGTGCTTGTAAAATTTTTCTCAGTGTTTTCGATTGAAACCTTTGAACTATTTCTATGTTTGAGTTGGAAGTGGTTCCCCAGAGTTGGATACCGTAGGTCCAAATAGGTTTCAATATAATTTTGTATAAAAGTAATTTATTTTCAACAGATCATTTTGAATTTCGACCAATGAGCCAATTTAGTTTGTTTGTTTTTAAATTTAAATGAAGTCGTTTGTTCCAAATGTGTGAATGCCATGTAAGCCGTCTGTCGAGGTCAAATGAGTTTTGATTTCACAATTCCACTCCACACAGCTGGTTCAAACATATTAAATACTGCACGAATATTAAAACAGAGAGGGTAAGGATTATAAATTTAAAATAATGATGTCACTAGCCCGAATGTAAACATTATTTAACATTACTTAAATGGAGCTGTCAAACAATATGTTAATAATTTCATCAGTTACACCATTTGTTTATGTTTATGATCTATTATACTGAGTCTGTTCTAATATATGCTGTAATAATATTTTACAGGCAATAATTCGTTGTAAAAGAAATCATTCATGGATATAGGAAATAATTAAGATTCTATAATCATTGCCAAGCCATTATCCTGAGTTTTATGAGGTTTATTTTTATTTTTGTGTAAACAGCAATATAATCCCCCTTCCGCAGCAAATTTATAGACTTAGTGAATTTCCATTTACCTGATTATAATTTCGATAAAATATGTTAAAAAAATTACCATATTCTTCATATTTATTTCAATTTTCCTATTTGTTTCTATTTTTCGGTTTGTAACTGATGTTGTGATAGTTTTTTTGTTTACAGTGCAAACCATTTAACACGTTCTTTTATTGTACCTTAAAATCTATCATTGGTTTTGTATCGTAGGTAGCCTAAATAAGTACTCACAGTATGAGTACTTTATTTTTTACTTATACTTATACTTTTCCCCCTCAATGAATTCGTGTATTTCACGAAGGTGTCGAGACAAAACTCACCGATTAACAAAACTCTTATCACAAAACTGAGCACTGGCATACATGCATTGTTGACAAGACAAGCCAAAACGATTAAGTTAGTACACCACGCGACCACGCGACAGACAGCATTGAATTTGACGTTTAAGTTCGGCACTGCTCGGTAAGATTCGGAAGCGTTCGGCACAGCGCAGTAGTGGGGGAAGCGTTGTTCCGATTTCAAATTCCGCTGTCCCGTTTCTAGACAGACGAAAAAAAGGGCGGTGACAGTCTGACGGCAAGGTCTCCTACCTAGGCTATCCAATTATCAATGTTATCATTGTTGACAAATTCCATTCTATTGTTATTCTAGGTTATTGTTTTTATCACAACTGAGATTTTAATTAATTAATTTAATTTTTAATTAGGCCTAGTTTTGGTCTGGGGCAATATTTTTAACTCATATGTTACTGACCTGTTTGTTCTCATGTAGCAAACTATCATTTTAGCCTATATCAAGCACACGCACCCTGTTATTTATTAGTGCAGGTAACTTTAATATACTTACAACTTAACCACTAATTTATGTGTTGAGATTAGGTTAAGGTTAAGATTAGTTGGTTAAGGTTAGGTTCAATTTAGAACAGTTTCATTTTATTTATAATCAGCTGGTAATGTATAATGTATAATAGTAAATGTAGGACGTAAACTAAAGTGCAACCAAATAAGCACAAAGAAGGGCTGCACTTTACGTCCTACACTCTTTCGAATGAAAATATCGATCGATGTATCGATTGTTTGATATATAATTTGATTAGTTCGGTAAGGTTAACCTAACCTAACTAATCAAACGATATATCGAATGAAACAAACGATAAATCAATATTTTCATTCGGATGTTTCATTCTAATGAGTGTAGGGTGTAAAGTAAAGTGCAGCCCAAAGAAGTAAAATACAGAGGATACATTCAATGGTACTCTTAAGTGGGGTCTAGCACCAGGCACTGGTATCAAAAGGAAATTCTACTTGTGGTCCCCTTCCGCTCTCCTTTCCCCTCTCGTCATCATGTAGGCCTACTACAGCGCAGTAGGTTGGAAGACCCCGTTTTAACAACTGCTGTTAAAATGGCCATCACCGTTCAAGCTCTTCTTTGCTAATGTAGATACCATACTAGTACATTTCCACCTCACCATACCAGAGCTATAAGCGCACAGTTGTCCCATAAGCTTTATATATCCTCTGCTTGTATATCCTCTGTATTTTACTTCTCCTTGCAGTAATTTATATCTGACTCTTTAACCTCCGGCAGTTGTTGTAATAGAAGACAGTCGTGATTAGCAGCAAACTGAACTGTTCACAAAATAAATAAAAAGTATATTTCAGGACAAATTGTGTTAAAATAGTTAAGGTTCAAACACTGATGTATTTTTAATATAATTTTTTGACACTATTTATATGTACCTATGTGCATGAAATAAATAAAGAATTTTTGATTTGATTTGATTTGAAACTAATTTCATAACAGAAAACAAGTAAAAAAACCTATCACTAGGATTGCCAATTTACAGTTTATAATTTTAGCTTATGGGGAAAGAGAAAGTCTGTGGACGACTGGGCCTTAGGCCTACAAATACAAATCAAATTAAAACTCTTTCGGTATTCCCATAAGACAATACAATTACCCTACAGTATGAAATACAGTAAGTGAAAATGCATAGGCATCGTCTGAGGCATACATTTCTGACTCTCATACAGCTCACAGCTGTGGCGTTCCTTAGGGATATATTTATTCATTGACTTCCGACAGGAAATTGCCAGTACATACAATAAATTACAAGAAGTTACGTATGCAATGTTAAAACAAATACTGTAGGCTTTTCAGTAAGTTTAACAAGTGAAAACTATAAATAGCAACAACGATTAGACATTAGGCCTATAGCAAGAGTTAACAAAAGCTAGGTATAAATGAACAATAAATTGTGCAAAACCAATGACTAAATCAATGTAGTGATCAGACAATGATATGAATATGAAAAGGATGTGGTGAAAAAATGTAATAACACAACTAGCTAACAGGCATGACAGTGAGAGAAATAGGCCTATGGTGGTAACATGGGATGAGCTAGAATCCAGAATTGCTGCACTAAAATTTAATTACACTAGAAACCAACAAACAAATAAATATACATTAGAATACTACTTTAGTTTTGTCCATTTTCTCTTCAAGGATTTCAGGCTACTGCAGAATAGGTCCACATTGGCAAGAAAAGAATTGCCAAGTAGATGTAGTTGAGCCACAGGTCAAAACTTCACGTAAGTAGTTGGTTCAATAGTGCATTTGAGCGAAGAGATCTCTTGACCTGGTAAGTTAGTTATATTCTGAGATTAATGGAGGCAAGCAAGTACGAACACTCGGGAGCTCCATTTATCAGTTTGTAGTGGAATCCCGTATCAGAGAGCTCACGATCAACCTCTAGAAGACACAGTTCAAGATGTTTCATCAGGTCTTCCAGTGGAACTTCGGAAAATGACATTCCCATCATCGGCCCCACATGTCTTACAAATCTCTGTATTCTCTCTAGTCTGACAATGTGATGAAGTCTTAGAAGTGTTTTGTAGAGAGTTGTTATTAAGTGCATAGATAATCCACTTCTAGCTGCATGCGATATCCATCCAAGCAGTCTACCAGCTCTCCTACAAATGACATCAATGGGGCAGAGATAGGCTGAGGTACACGCCTAAACCCATGACATTCTGTACATGTTTTTTTCCAAGTTAGTGTCTAGGATATTGTTATCAGCATGAAAGACAGTTTCAGTCCGATAGAAAGACGTTACCATGCATTTAGTTGCATCATGTTATCTTCACACCATTTTAAGACGCCATCCAGGGAACGCTGTAGAATAGTGCCATCATCATTGTCACTGATTTTACTAAACAACTTAATTTAATCCGCAAAGAGCAGGAAATTACTCTCAATAGCCTCGCCTATGTCATTAACAAACAGATTGAAAAGTCAATGTCCTAAAAGGGAGCCTTGGAGGACTCCTGACATAACAGAAAAGGGGTCAGAGTAGCCTCCACCAATCTTGATGATTGAGGATCTTCCTGTTAGGTAGCTCTTAAGCTAAGGTAGTAAAGGGTCGCATATTCCATAAGATTCAAGCTAAGGGGTGGGTACATTGGTGGGCCAGGCAAAAATTTGGATTAGGCCTATCAAGAGTTTTGAATTATTAAGATGTTAAATCTTTTGGAAGAAATATAAACCATTCAAATTAAAGAGTTTTTTTATGCGGAAATAGAGTGGAAATTTCATGTTATTTTGCTTGTGCCTTGGCTTTTTTTTTAAATCAAACCTCCTACCTTCTTACGGTCGCCATTTCAAGTAAAAGTATTATTAGTAGGCCTATTTTCACTTCTACATATATTGTCTCAACCACTTAACTAAACAGTCTTCTAGTCTAGGATATTCACCTTTTGTGGTCCTTTTTCTTCTCGTAACGGCATTCACTCCAACAATTTTGTTTTTTTTTCTAAAAAACCGTTGAAAAGCTTTTGCAACCTCTGACTCTACTCGTACCACTTTCTCCTGCCGTGATAACTTTTTCCTGCAATCAAAAGGGACTTGTATTTAAGCTTAATTTCCGTGACAATACAATAAATTCTGCAAATTCAGCTTTGGCCACTCACAACAAACAGCTTTAAAGAAAAGAACACAGCGAACTACAAAACTTATTGTGCAAGCAATCACTGCCAATCATATGATTACTGCTCAAACTAACCACCAAACCTACTGTGTTGCGTATGCCTAAGAAGGCGTTTTTAATGGAGTGGACTGTATATGAGGGGATGACTTAAGAGCAATTGACTTTCCTTCCTGGCAAAACTTTTTCAACGGCTGCAGACTTGATAAAAAGTTTAGGCTCCTTGAAATCAGATCTCATCATAATTAATACAGGATTTTGATGAACCATAACAACGCATCTAAACTTCACTACATACGGTATCACGTACTGTTATGGAGTTCATGTTTTGGGGCCTGAAATTGGAATTGCATAATTTTTTACCAACAAAGCAGGACTAGGCTATGAATGTGGTCAAATGTGGTCAAATTCACTACAATTATGGTCCACTCCATCCACAAAATACATGCACAACTTAATATAATTGATACGGCCGAGGCAATGGGCCCTCGCTTGTCAATAAAGTTCAAATTTCACAGGCACCTCAACCTCATGGCCAGATTTAATAAAATTATGCCAGAAGTTAATCAATTAGCAAAGAAGTACAGGGTGATGGCTGATGTGGCAAGAGGAGGAATCAAAATTGCACAGCGTAAAAATAGACCCCAATCGAAGTAAGAATTTTACTGCTTTCTGGAGAAACAGATATTTTGATCAAATACAAAAAATATTTAATCGGCCTCAAACTGATAAAAATTATGCATTGTTTATGACCAATGATGGTGATTTACTGATAGGAACCAAATACGATCTGAAAAATTTTCCTAAAGCAGATGGAGCCAGTTGTCAGTAATATTCACTCCCTCCACCAGATCATTGTTAGAAATTTTTTTTATAAGAAATAAAAAATACAGTTAGGAGTAAGCTTATAACTAAACATGGTAGACAGTTTTGTGAAAGTAATAAGAATTTGTTTTTAGATAGACTAAAAAATGAAACCTGGCTGGAAGTGTTTCAATCTCCTGTAGAACAAAAATATGATGTATTTATATATAAAATAATTTTATATTTTAACGAATGTTTTCCAGTGGTCAAAATTAGAAAAAGGATTAACAAGTGTCGCTGGTATAATGTCACTTTAAAAAACGAACAAGATCAAATCATCCAGCTTTATACCAAGGGCAGACTGCTTAAAAATACAAATACTGTAAATGATGCTAAACTAAAAAATAAAACCCTTAGGAAAAAAAATTAACAATGCTAAAAAAGAGTATTTCCAAAACAAAATCAATAACTCGTCTAATGTAGTAAAAACAACATGGAATATAATTAATAAGCAAGTGGGAAACAGGCGTAAAGTAGATAATATATCTAGTATTAAAGTAGATAACAATGTTTACTCTAGTCCTAACAAGATTTGCAATTTGTTCAAGGATTATTTCATTAACATTGTAGATCGTGATGTGATACCTAAATTAAATGAATATCCCAACTTAAATAATGCTAAAACTGACTTTTAACCAGACTTGACATACTTTAAATGTGAACCTGTCAGCGACAAAGAAATAGACAAAATAATAAGTTCTTTAAATAATAAGCATTCATCCGGCTATGATGATATCCCAATGTCCTTAGTTAAATATGTTAAGAAATATTTAATAAAACCTTTAGTACATTTAATAAATTCCTCTTTCATTAGTAGCATTTTTCCAGATAAACTAAAAATTTCCAAAATTAAGCCTCTTTTCAAGAAAGGAGATGAATCAACTATGTCAAATTATAGACCATTGTCGCTGCTACCAGTAATCTCTAAGATTTATGAAAAAACAATGTATCATAGATTAATAACTTTTTTGGAAAAAAAATTGACAAAGAGCAGCATGGTTTCAGAAAAGGGCGGTCTGCTGTAACTGCGGCGGTTGAGTTCATAGAATCTGTAATAAATTCAATTGATGAGGGAGAAAAGGTTGTAGGAGTTTTCTTAGATGTAACTAAGGCTTTTGACAGTGTCTCACATTCTTTACTTATTAATAAATTGGCAAAACTAAAAATTAAAGAATCTATGTTATCCTGGCTAAAAAGTTACTTGAAAAACAGAAAACAATATGTTGAGCTAGTTTACAACAGTCAAAATAATTTAGTTATTCAAAAATCGGAGATGAAACTAATTAACCATGGGGTGCCCCAAGGCTCAATTTTGGGCCCACTTTTATTTTTAATATATGTAAATGGATTACCTCAAGTCATTTCTGGTAATAAGGGAAACAAAATTTGCATCTATGCAGATGATGCCAATTTGAAAATAAGTGGCAAATCTGCCATAGAAATAGAACAATCTATTAGCAATAATCTAAGTGATATAAATATACTTCTTTAGTGATCATCAACTATTTAGGCGCCTTAAAATAAGAAAATAAATAGCAAAACCTAGAAACAATTAGAACACAGATGAAACCATTGTTGTTCGATAGTGAAAAGTATTGTGAATAACATATCAAAAGTCTCCAAAAATATTTTTGGTGGAACACCACCATTTTTCCAAAATGGCGGCCAAATCCAGTAGTTTTTTGCTTTTTATTGAAATTCTGACTTTCCAGTCAATATTGGTGAAAAGTCGTCAATACATTTAATGTTCCTCCTGAAATTACCTTTTAAATGATACCAAATACATGTACCTACAACAAAAAATAAACCCCGTAGAAATAATAAAATATTTAAAATAAAAATATTTTTTATAAATTAATGTAATAGTCCAAGCAAACTAAAAATAACGTACACAGGGATCGTATAAAAATTTGCAAGTAAACATGTTATGGTTTTATTTTTATTGTTGTGGTGTGCAGAGTGACATACCAAAAGTTGCAAAAATCAGTCCACGGGAAACCCCTAAATTAAGGAAAAATGGCGGCAAAAAACTACTGGATTTGGCCGCCATTTTGGAAAAATGGTGGTGTTCCACCAAAGATATTTTTGGAGACTTTTGATATGTTATTCACAATACTTTTCACTATCGAACAACAATGGTTTCATCTGTGTTCTAATTATTTCTAGGTCAAACCACATATTCAGGGGCCTAATTGCTCAATATTTCAAAAACAAATTTAATGCCAATCAGTGCCATCAACAACAACAAAAATAAATTAAATTCCATCTCAATTAGGCTACTATAAATAAAAATAAAATATCTCCAATAACTAACACCAAATTTTTAGGTTTGATAATGAGTAACAATTTAAGTTGGGATTTACATATTGAACAGATAGCTAAAAAGGTCACATCTGGTTTGTATGCTTCGTATAAATTATCTAATCTTTGTGATCTTAAAACACTAAAAATGATATATTTTGCTTAGCAAATATAAATTTTTGTATCTGCATCTAGGGAGCTACAAGTAAAAGAAATTTGGATAGGCTTTTAATTTTACAAAAACGAGCATTGAGAATAATATTGGATATTAAATGGAGAGAGACCGTCAAAGAGGAATTTAAAAAAATTGGAATAATGACTGTATACAGCATGTATATGAAGTAATTTTATATTGTAGACAAAATTTTGCAGACTTACCTCTATTAGGTGAATTCCACTCCTACAATACAAGAAATAGGGGTACTATTGCAGCACCTGCCCATAGAATAAGTCTATATGAAAAGAAAACTACCCATGCTGGAGGTAAATTCTATAATAAACTTCCTGATCACATTAAGAAAGAAAATAATTTTTTCAAATTTAAAAAACATTTGAAGTACCACTTGTTGTCACTACCTCTCTATACTCTTTAGAAGAATATATGTTAAATTAGTGTTTTATTTCTATTAGACTTGATTTCTTTATGTTAAGTTTTAGATAAAGTTTTTGACGCCATTCCATGTACTGATTTATGTACAATATGAAATAAAGACAATTTGATTTGATTTGATCACAGACCAATTATAACATCTCCTTTTACCATGTGGTGAAAGAGGCTTTAGCATGACCAAAGCTCATGAACAATATACTATTAGTTGTAAGACTCCTCAAAACTTTTTGGGCGACCTGTTGCCCATGAAAGGACAGGAAATATTGTATTCAAAGAATATTGTATTCAAAGAATTCATCAACCACGTTTTGTAAGGTGCTCAATCTTCATAATTATGTTTACCCTCCCCTTATTTAACCAAGATTTTTATAACTTCACTCTATTAATCTATATCAGCTAGCTGTGAAACCTAAATAACCTAAGTAACCATAGGTCGATTTTGCCGGATTCCACCTAGTAACAATTTATTTTTTAAACCTGAAGTTGTATATCTTCCCATTGTTTCTAATAATGATCGACTATAGGCCTACCAATTTTTAGGAATTCTATATTTTTTCCATATTCATAGTTGTTGGTTACTGGAACCAGAACTAACAAAAACATTACCTACCTACCTAACTTAAAAGAAATTAAATCTAATCATCTATTTCAGATAGGAAAATTCAATGTCTCTTTTCAAATCAAGAGAGCTGTGGTCCACGTTGTGTGGAAAAGATGAACATTATGACAACGGCTGCATGGTCGTAACAGACATTTTATCACAGGGGTTTGATTGTATAATTGTTGGCAGTCATAGTGGATTTTTAAGGATATTTCAACCGCAGCCAGACACAGAAATTGATCCTCAAGGATACCGAGCTACAGATTTGCTTTTAGAAATGCAGTTGCCAAGTCCCATTTTGCAGGTTGACTTTGGAAAACTTGTTTCGTAAGTTGTAAATTTTATTTTTTTAATTTGACAGCTATACAGGGTGTTTCCAAATTGTCTGGACATATTTTGTGGACTTGATCCTTGGGCTAAGACAAACATAAAATGCCTTATAAGTATGGGTCTAAAATGCCTTATAAGTATGGGTCTAAAATGCCTATATTTCTGTCTGTTGCCCTGTTTGCGATTTTTAAAAATTATTTTATATCTTGGAAACTTTTCAAGATAGAAATTTAAAAATCTATAGGCAAGCATGTTTCTTTAAAACCTTTTTTCTCAGCTCACGTGCATCACAGAGAAAATCTACGCATACTGTTAGAAAGATATTTTCCTGTAGATGTGCAGAATAACTTTATAAATTAAAATAGGCTCAAAAATAAGCACAAAAAATGAATTTTAAATTTCAAAAAATTAACCCTTTCAGTGCTATGAAACGATATATCGTTGTTTTAAAAAATCTCTAAGGGATATAGAGAGGAAGGTTATTTAAAAAAAAAATAGCAAAACGGCCATTGGTGACCTGCATGTTCATAGGATACACTAACAACCACTTAGCTAAAAGATTCGCCCAATCCGATGATTTCGAGGTGTATGTCTAAACCAAGGATTATCAACACCTCACTATGCCCCAGTGGTTGTAGTATATCGCTACAAACACACAGGTCACCAATTATTTGCCACACAGGACGGGATTCGAACCCGAGCAGACGAATGCCACTGGCCAAGTGACACACGCCCTAGCCTTCTCGGCTATCTGTGCTTGAAGACTGAGGAGTCAAAAACCGGTATTTAAGCTGACGCCACCGATTGCGAACAGATAGCGCTACAGATGGTTGTTCAATGCGTTACTAGGTAGCAGCACGGACTATTTAGATGAAATTTTTTAGTTTAAACACAACTGTGATCATAAATGTGTTCCTGAGACTTGGCTGCAAAACATTAGTTTCTCTAAAATGGCTATATTACGATAACCTCGTCCAACTAAATCAAGGTTAAATTCAATATTACATTGTAAACTATATGTCTTTTGATTTTATGAGATTTTGGTTTCAAATAATGCTATCAGAACATAAAAATTTATAGGAAAACCAGGAAAATTACAACAAAAACCAAGTTTTATTTAATGTTTACTACAAATACCGGGATTTATCTTTCTTATATATTTTCTTATTGCGTTATTATTCAAAATTAGCCTAATTAATAAAATAGTGACAACATGACAGTTAAAATTCAACAACAGGTAGGCCTATTGAAATTAAAAGGCAAACAAAAAAGTCTTAAAAAATATGAATTATTGGCCTAGCGCTGAAAGGGTTAACATGGGTCTTATGGGTTGCCATGCTGGTAATGAAATAACAACGCAATATTAACAGAAAATCAAAACAAATTAAAGAAATTCCTATCACATGTTTACTTTTAAAATGTGTACTGTATGAAATGCACTGTAAACCACGTTGGCGTGTGTACATTAATAATATTTGTTTTGCGGTATTTTAACCAGCAGTAAAGCAATCATAATCTAAAGTATAAAATCAAAATAATAACATAAACAAATTTAGTTTGTAGTGGTGGTGAGTCCTATTTTGCACTGATTGTGTGCTGTGTGATATGTCCGAATATTATATACCTACATACTTTTTGTTTAGTGAAATTTTTACTGTATTTGTTTGTTATAAACTTGAGTGACTTTCGAGTATCATTCTGAAATGTCTCTATGGCCCCTTTTATTCACCGCGGTTGCCCGCCGGGCGACCGCTGCACCAATGTGTCACATGCGATCGACCCCTATCGATTCACTATTATGTGGATAGTGTAACAGTGCTGCCAACCCTTGTTTGTTAAAACCTTTGTTTTTTTTAATGTATACTCCTGTTTACAACTGAGAACTGTCATCGATTCACTTCAACGGCTGCTATTTAAGCCTGAAATCTAGCTAAAACACACTCTAGTAAAATAAATCCTTTGTAAAAGTTTCAAATAGTGCCAGAGTGGTGTTCAATCAAAATTTTATTTACTGTAGATAATTTCAGACAAAATCTTTCAGTATTTATGTCCGTAACATGACATGAAGTCATTTTTAACGATGAGAGGTTCAGCTATGTACACGACCAAACAAATATACATACTATTGACTAGTAAGTAGTAGATAATGCGCACAGCCGAATGACTAGACCACGTGTATTGGTTGACACTAGTGACTTGGGTTGGTAGCAATGCGCCAGCGACGGCGGGCTCCCGCGTTGAATAAACGATCCCGTATAACACAATGCATATACAAACTGCTACCCGCCAGCGGTTTCTAAGTGCAAGCGGGTGAATTTACAAACCTCCGCGGGTATCCGCAACTTCTGAGACCGCTCCCATTTGAATAAAAGCACCCATTTACGGCAATGCATTTATAAAACCGCGGTGAATAAAAGGGCTATGGCGAACATTCTAGCCGGGTAGAAAGAAGAAACCGTCTCTGCAATATGATAGTTAAATCAACAAGATGTAGTTCCTATACCGAATTAGATAGATAGTTTTAAATGTGCGTAAGAGAAGTGTCTCGGTAGTTTTGTGGCTCAGACATTGGACTTATGAACTTAGCCTATTACTGTGGAAATAAATAAATTGAATTGAATGCAGATTTTGTTGGAAAACACTTCCAGTCTGAAGCCACACAACGTAATACGGCGGCATTCATATCATGTTGCAACATAGGCAAAATTGTGGTACTTTCCTGTTTTATATTAACAAATCGAAACTTATCAGCTGACATCTACAATAAATAAATATTGTTCAGTATCAACAAACAATAAAAAAATATTATATTGAAATGAAACTGTTCATTACATATTTTAGGTCAAGTTTTCGACCACTGGACAATCTCTAGTTGGTATAAATGTGTAGCTTTGAAGGTAAAAAGAGCTAAAAAAAGTTGTTCCAATATCTCAAGCCGTTTCAATATGGCGGCCATTTAAAATTTTTAATGCCGAATTTCATGAAAACCGTAAATATTAAGAAAATTGTTTTTATGATCAAAAAGATAGAGAATTTAAATCCAAATCAAATAGAGTCATCAGTTTTTTCCTACATTTGGTTAATAAGAAACCTAACTTAAGAGCAGTATCATGCTACCGTACTCCTATTACATTGCCTTTGAAGGAACAAGCCCACAAAATAAGTCCAGACAATTTGGAAACACTCTGTATACATTTGAAGATCATTCTGTACTATAGGCGTACAGGTATACTTGTTTGTGGTTGAAATTTTTTATTGGCCATTGATCAACTAATTAATCAAATTTTAATTCATTGAGCTTGGTTTTAATTTTTTAATTTGCTGTGTTTGTATTTTTAAGTTGTTCTGGCCAATCAAAAATAATTTACCAGTATACCTAATTAATTTATAGATAGGCCTAATTTTTATTCAATAATCAACAATTGAAGCAGTGAGAAATAATTTTGCTTGATTGATACTAATTTTAAGATAGACTCCTTGCTGTTTAATTTGGTGTCACTTTATAAAACCAGATGACATATTGCTATAAGCATTGTGAAACGGAAGGCTTGCTAATAAATAATATAGTGACACGGCACTGAATATTCTATGACTAAATAAGGCAGTTTGCACTCCTCAGGTTACACATATTTTTCCTACAGTTACTATAAATAATTAGTCTTTCAAACACTGTACAACACGTTTTTAGGTTAGGTTAAATCCAAACATTGAACGAAATGGGAAACCCTGCACCAGCTGATCGTAGTCATAATATCTTTAAGTGTTGCCAAATTATTTTCAAGCCTATACATATTACGTGTCTAATAAAAGCACGCTGTTTTGTGTTGTTTGGTTGAAATACTAATGTGCAGCAAAAGTAAGTAGATGCAGCAATTAGCAACTTTATGTCAGGTGACTGTAAGTAAAAATTATTTACTTCACATTTATCATTAAATAATATTTATGTTGCAGAGGGTCCCAAAGTTTTCAAATTGGTGTTCTTCATCCTCTTAGTGTGGCTGTTTACAGTCTTGTGTCAATTTCTGGCTCTGCGAAACATGGTTTGTTGTAGGCTAGTGTTTTCATATCCTTAAGCTATATTTAAACAGGAGGAAGAAAAATTGCGACAGTACTTGCGCAAGAATTGTTGCACAGTCTAAACACTTTTTCCGGAGAGTTGTCCGTGAGCCCTCGTACGAGCTGCTATCACTGATTATTGCGACAGTTTGCTAATATCCATTTACACGTGAGAGCTCCATATGCAATTTTGACTTGCTCAAATGGTCTAGTTAGTCAGTACGATGCCATCGACGAGAATCAAAATCACTTGTGATTATTGACCATTGGTTAAGGACTGGCGTTAAGAAAAAGAAAATGAGTATATGGGTCAGGAAGTGGATCGAAAGAAGAAGAGAGTTGGGGGCGTTTAACAACTTAATTGGAGAACTAAGGATCGAAGATTCCAAACAATTTAGAAATTTTGTTAAAATGTCTGCCTGTTGAATTAGAGAATTTGATTTGTATTGTTGGGCCGAAGATAGAAAAAGTGGATACTGCAATAAGGGGCTGGTGGTCACCCTACGTTTTCTTGACACAGGTATGTTTTCATATTATTTAATGAACCATTCAATAGTAATATAGACATAATTTGAATGCTTGTGAAATCATAATTCATAAACCACAGTTATTGGAGTTATTGGCTATTATGCTATATATTTGTGTGTCTGAATTGACGTTGGTGGAATGCTGTAGGGTTAATAAAGACATCAAATAGTCCAAAAAACATCATTTATAAATTTGAATAATTAACTAAAGATTAAATATTATTTACAACTAGCTGTTGTACCCGTGCTTTGCAACGGGAAGAGAACACAAAATAGAAACATTTTAATCTTTACATCTGTTGAATATAATAGTTACACATCCGCCAACGCTTTTAGAAACAAAATTCAACTTTTATGGCCTTAACCCTCCTGGTGTCGGTTATTTTTTGTGTGGTGTCAGACGATTTTTGGGCATTTTGCAGTAATATTTATTAAAAAATGTAACAAATCTACTTTGTAAAATAACTATACCATGTTATATATTTTTGTGCAGCTAAATATATGCACATTATGATTCAGTACAAATAATTAGGTTTTTATAACTATTTTATCATAAAAAAGTACTTAGAAGTATAAAAAATACAAAATAAAAATATGAAAAAAATGTTCGTGCCCCTATTTTTATGAATAATTGTAACTAAATGAAAAATCTGAAATAGCCATTTATTTCTAAATATTATAGCGATAAAGAAAATATGAACTTTAGTATGGTTAACTTAATTTTTAGGACAGCTAAAAGAGTCATAAATATTATCGAGGAATAGTAGCAAAATCACTCACTAGGCCTATTACAATGACTTTACTGCCATTACACATAACCTTCAAATATATAACTGCAAACACATCAAACCAACAAGTCATCACTGATTATTTTGTACATCAAAATATGTAGTCTAAACAGGTAAAAATATAGTAACAAACAACTTGTAAACAACAACAAAAACACGCAACACGGCAACCAAAACATTGTCTTTGTCTCAAAACATCTGGAAACAGACAAACAAAAGTAAGGTTGTGAAAAAGACACCAGAAGAAAGCCAGTTTTCTGCTGTTTACAGTGATATCAATCCAATCCAAATCGGACTGAAATTGACTGAGTTAAAAGACAATATGTGTCTGCACTACCATCGATGCATCGACGCTTGACACCCCAGAGCGTGTCATTAACCATCGATGCATCGATGTTTGACACTGGGAGTGTTTAAGTTATGACTTTTAAATCTGGTATGTAGTGTATACCACCATTTCATTTTCCTTAATTAAATATCTTTTTTATTTATTATTGACATTTTAAATTTCAATTTTGGAGTTACTACTAATTATTAAATTTAAGTGAACATTTTTTTTATTTCACTCTTCTTTATATTAAATCACAAATCCTTCCATCTTCAGTTTCTTCACTCACAATAAATCATTAGCAAAACTAAGTCAGCTTTTATAAACTTTAGAAATATTGCTGTGCCTTATCAATACAGTCTTGAAATATTAAAGAAACTATACCTATAGGCACTATAAAAAATGTTTAACAAATAATTTAGCATTAAAGACAGCAAACAAAACTTATATGATTATAAACGCATCAAGGCCTAAAAAATGTAACAGCAAATACAGTACAGTCCACTCTTGGCAATTCAAACACTTGATAATTCAAAACTTTCGATAATTCAAAATGAAGGCTCAATCCCTAGAGAATCTCTCAATATTTCAAATTTTTACCATGCATTTTGATACACTCGGTATTTCAAAGTCCAAATAGAGGGCAGGTCAATTTGTAACACGCAGTAATTCGAAGTTTCGTCGGAAAAACACTCTATAATTCGAAGTAACTCAGTAATTCGAAGTTTCGTCGGTTAACACTCTATAATTCGAAGTCATGCTGTAATTTGAAGTTTCGTCGAAAAAACACTCTATAAATCAAAGTCACGCAGTAATTCGAAGTTTAGTCGGCAAAACACTCTATAATTCGAAGTGATCTCTTCCTGTTATAACAGGAAACTATACAGTACAGTACATCCTGTTCCCATGGTAGGCTAGTGTTGGACGTTTTGATGTTTGTTTAGTTAGAGCAGTAGTCAGAGTTAGTTCGCTGACTTGTTTTTCTAAGTTGGCAATCCGATCTCTAGATTGCGCGACATCTCCTTGAGCACAAACGTAGTTGTCGACAGCTGATAGTTCAGCTATTGGCGAAATATATAGCGCTAAATAACAGATTTCTTTGCAACTACAGTAACTGAAAAATAAGCCGTTGATTGTTTAAAAGTGTACTAAAATACGGTATGATGTTTTATTGTAACGTGCTGTACCTTTGTATGTATTAAACAAATGAACTCTCTGTAATTCAAATGGTTTATTTTTGCTCCCGATAAATCGAACTCTTGATAATTCAAAACTCTTGATAATTCAAATTTATATGCTTGGCCCACCAATTTCGAATTATCAAGAGTCTACTGTATATGTTTCATTGCATCTCTGATTCTACTCTACAAAAATATCAACAAACAACTTAATTTACAAACCAGTTCTTTTAATCAGTTCCATCGTCCATTGCCTTTACATTTTCACACTTACCATTAAGTAAACATAGTAACAGGTATTTCATTGATTTTAGAAACAAAAGAACAATGTGCACTGCTTAGTTTTATGATATTTTTCTTGGTTTAATTTAATCAGTGGTGTGGCAAAACACAAATAATAAATTTATCAAATAAAGTAAATGTGAACTGAAAGCTATGTTAAGATAAAATAAGAGTATTTTGTATTACCATTTGATAATTAATTATAGTTACACATACATGTACAACAGATTTAAAAAAACAAAAATAAACGACTTACAATTTAGTTATTGATGATATTCTTTGGTTTAATTTAAGCATAGGTTTAGCGAAACACAATAACTTAATTTACCTAAATATACATTATATAAAACAATGTGATGTGCAAGTTATGTTAAGTTAATCTAACACATGTTAAGCAGTTAGAATTTATTTAAAGTAGCCTCCAAATTCATATAAAACATCTATACATTGTAATTTTCATACTGTTTCCATGAAATCATATCAATAACATTATTTGCTTAACTTAGACGCTTTAAAAACATTGAAAGCAGAGCCGGAGTTGATACAGCAACGGTTATAGAATCTTTTTTTTTATAAAATCATTGACATAGTTTTGGAATAAATAATCCATGATAAAAGGTTAGATTAAAATAAACCTACCTCATAGTATTGGAAAATAATATATTTAATTTCTTTGTATCAGCTGTCTGAAATTGTGAAATATTATGCAGTTTAGCAGTCCTACTTGTTTACATTTAAATGTCAAAGCAACATCAAACATTGTTAGTGTTCTCATCGAAGCCATGGAGTCCAACCAATCAAGGCCACACTAAAAAAACAGGCCGTAATGCTCGTCCAGCATGGCGTCACGATAGAAGACGGCAATGATGTAATTTTGCCGTTTGTGATCAGCTGCTTGTTTTAATCTTTCATTGGAAAATAAATAAATAAGTACTTATACGTCATAGCCGTCTTCTATCGTGACGTCATGCTTGGCGAGCAGGGTCAGCAGGGTGCTTGGCAGAGCCTGTTTTTTTTAGTGTGGCCTTGAACCAATATTTACTTTTAAAATCTTCACCTCAGAACTTTTAACCCTCCGAGTGTTATTTGTCGCTGCAGCGACACATAACACACTTTGTGTAGTGTTTTGTGTCGCTGCAGCGACTCACAAACACTGTTTACGGCAAAGGCTCTATGACTGACAAAATGGGATTGAACTGGATCGAGTTAGGTATAGTTTTATTTGACAGATTCAGAGCTTTCTCCGGAGGTCTGTCTCTAAGCGCTATTCATTTTAGTTCCGAAAATATTGTAGCAAACAGCAGACGTGCGTATTTGTAAACAGCTTGGTTAGACTCGGACCGATGACTGATGTGTTTTATTACGTTTATCATTCTTTTAGTGTTAAAAATCAAAAGTAGTGATATACGTGGTGCATTATAAGAAGATTTAAGTGATTTTGAAGGGCTGGTTGATGATCCTGAAGAAGTAGGTAGTGATATTGATGTAAATTATCAGCCAGATTCCTAGCTATGGTTAGGCTATGCATTCTTAGCTAAACGCTATGTACTGAAATCTGTTTTTTGCCCATAACTTATTTATTTGCAAATCTACTTCCTTATATTATTATATATTTGTAATCCTCATAAAATTTCGAACAAAGTGGCTATTTTCAAATATTTATAGGCCTATAATTTATACAATTTCATTGAGCGCGAACTTATTTTTTTTTTGGAAAATTTTCCAAAATATTTTTTTTTTAAACAAATATTCCTTATGTTCTATGTATAATATTGAAGCCCATGATTTTCCAAACAAAATGGTATATAGAACAGTATAATTAACATTGTTTTCAAGCTTCTCAGATCCGTTTTAATAAAACCTTGCAAATGAGCAAAAAAT